CAAATGGAAATTCACACACACACACACAAGCACACAGATACAAAGTGCTGCAAATGACAGACGAAACGGAACAATAATTAAAGCGAAATCAACAGCAATAACAAGAAGAAAAGAACAAAATGAGGACACAACAAGAAGGAAACAACATGGCAAAAATGCAGCAGCTCCTCAAACTTTGAATGGATGATATGCGTCTGATGGACGGACGGATGGGTGGACGGATGGATGGATACCCCTTGCAACAAAATCATGTCGTTCCAGTTGTCGTTTGTTGTTCTTGCTCTTGTTGTTGTTGTTGTTTGCCATTGATGCCGCTGCGTTGACTTGTTGTTTTTGCTGATGAGCCAAGGCAGCAGCAGCAAAAAAAAAAAATAAATCAGAGCAAAAGTTGAGTACAAGCCACGGCAAGAATCCTCCAGAACCCGTCAACTGGTTGGGTGTCGCTGTAGACTACTTGAACGAAAAAAATAAGCAAAGACAGACTGCAACAGAAGTGGAATCTGCCCCCCCAAATGTTGCTGAGCTAGCGGCCCCTCAATTGACAGTCACATCATTTTAGCCAGCGGAACACACACGCAGTTTTGGCCAAACAGTTTTCCCAGACAAGCAGGTGGCAAAGGCTGCAAGCAACACAGCAACACAGCAACAACAACAATTGCTTACAACAACAGCAATTGATGTGCCCCGCAGTAGCAGCGGTAATTGCTGAACGGTCTACGTCCATGCAAATTTTGCCTTTGCGTGTCTAGGCCTCCTTTATACACATACATCCATATATTTCTTAAAACTGACTGTCTAGCCCCCATTCGCCCCTCCCCCTTTCCTCCTCTCACATCAGCATTTCAGTTTGAGTTTTCGAATTATGTTGTACTCTTTCAGAATTTAGTTGTTTTCACATTCGCTGCTCGTAAACTTAAATCAGGTATATGGGGATTACTCGTAAATGATTTTGAATCTGTTTTTTTAATATCTTTTAATTAATTTTAATTGCGTTATATTTTAGAAATATATTGATATCTACGCTTATTATACATATTTATTATTTAATATTATAGAGTTAATATATTAACAGTAAGGCTTTTGAATTAAGGCTTGGAGTAAATCATGTTTCATTAATATTAAGTACTTTGCTAAGATTTTATACAATAATATCAGTTCCGGTTTAAGACCGCATGCTTATAGCGGTTCCGTGTCTGATTCTAGTTTGACAACCTGATTTATTCTTGGCTAAAAAAAAACTGTTTTCGTCAAATTTAATTTATTCCAAAGATCAAAATGAATAATAAAAAAATATGTATTAGCATTCTTTTTTAAAGTTTTGGCTATGATCATAGAATATGATTTATTGGAGTAAAAAAACGTTGCTACGAATATATAATTCATTTTGAAGAGATTTTGAGAAATCTCTACAAGATGATGCCAGAAAGGCGGCCAAGGATGGAGCTCATTAAGTATGATCCAATCTGACTGAATCCGAGAAGCCGATAACATCCGGTAAGGAGTACAAGAAGAAGGTAACCTGTCCATCAAAACAGCGTTTCCTCCTCCTAAGGTTCAAAGATGCCATAAATTATAATATAATTAGCTATAAATATATGCTAGCTATGTTTCACCCAGCTTAATCCAAAATGATGTAAACTTATTGCCAGTACAATCTCTTAAGAGAGTGGCGCTCTTGAACAGAGTATCGCTCGGTCGACTGCAATATGCACTGACTGTTGTTGTTTGTTGCTGCTTAGGGCTTGGCTTCAGTTGAGATGATTTCAATTAGTGATAAATCAGCAAATCCCCAAGAGATAAACAGAGCGAACGAGAGCCGGGCGGTAGAGCAGAGGGAGGCAAGGGTTTAGATAGAGAGCATTGCTTTGGAATTATAGCATTAACAAATTTATTTATAACACAAATTAAATAATCCAATTCGCGAGTCACCGTTTGGGGCAAGAACAGCAACAACAGCAGCAACAGCAACAACAGCAACAACGAATGCAATTTGCAGATTTACTAAGCGCACACAAAACTCATCTGCCAAGTGGCCAACTGAGCTGGCTAGCTGGCTGATTTGGCCAACTGGACGGTTGTTGTTGTTGTTGTGTTTGGCTGTGGCTTTGGCCAAATTGCAATTGCAATTACTGATGGCCGTGGCGCAGCAGCGTGGCATAAAACAACTAAACAACGCCCAAGCGACGACAGTTTGACTTGCAGCATCATCTGGACCTGGACCTGAAACGTCGACGTGGTTGTGGATTGGAACTGGGATGGCCTGGGCTGGCCTGGTGTGGAGTGGAGTGGAGCAGAGTGGACTACCCGTATCCATTACTGCACGAGCTCGAGCTCAAAATGGGATATGGGCCGCGTTGAAGAGCAGGCCGAAAAATGCGCGCGTTTCGAGCCCTGCGGCTGCCTTGCCTCGTCTGTCCCCTTGTGCCACGCTGCCCCTGTGTTCTGGCCAAGTTTTTGCGAGAAAATCGATTTCTGCTGCTGCTGCACGCTTTGGGTTTCGCAGCCGCAGTGAGTTGCGCTTACCCCGATTTCTCCCCTGGCTGCTTGGTTGCCAGGCAGGACCTGTATGTCTGTTTGTTTGTTTGTCGCTTTTAATGTTCGCAGCGCGGAGGCGACTCTTGACTGATTTTTATGCTTTTGGCCCAATTGCCCCGCAGTAGCCCAGTCGGCTGAGGCACTGGCGACCGGTTTCGCGGAGCAAGCTGATCTCTCAGCGCCTCTGCCTCCCTCTTGCCTGCCTCCTTACCACCCTCCCATTAGCGGCTCTTTGTTTGCGTTGCAGTTTTGCAATGCATAAGGTCATTCCCTTTGCTCTTGTTACTCCCGGTTCTTGTTGTTGTTGCTGTTGTTGCAAGTTGTTACTCCTTGTTGCTGTTGCCGCGCCTGCACGCTTTTCGTTTCGTTTGATGGCCGCGCGCACGCGGTCTTTTGTTAGTTTTTCCGAGGCACATTTTCATTATTATTGCTATTTTTATTATTTATTTGTACATACACACACACATACAACCCCACATGTATATATACCCTTCGCAAATGTGGCCCAATTACTTTAATATTACACTTGCAGTTAAGTCATTTACTTTAAACGCTAATTTATATTCTCTTTGCAGCTGGTTGCTGTATAATATAAATATAAATATTTACACTTGAATCTTATTATATATAAAAATATACAAGATATAAATAACATGTTTTTTATAATTTGTTTCAAAACTTTTCGATTTGGGCTTTATTGAACTTTAGGCTTTAAAAGCGATTATTTTAATAACCATGGTAAATGAAGTGAAAGAATTTTCTTATAATCTGTTTTAATACCCTTACAAAATTTGTACCATAATAATATAGAAACTTTTGAGTAAATTTCAAGCGCATGCAAAATGCACATTAAATAATTTGAGACACAAAATGCACAAAATTTGCAAAGGGTATTCAAAGTTGATCAATTGTTTGCTTCCAGCATTTGCTAAATATTTGAGTTTAGTATTTTTATTTGTATTCATTGCACTCACAATTTTATGCTCGCTGGCTTGCGAGAAGTATTTGTTGAGACTTTAACTTCTTGACTTGCTTTTTGTTGTTTTGTTTTTTATTTTGTGTAGGCCATGGTTAAAGTGCGCCCCGAGTTGGCCGAAAGGCAGGCGACTGCTTATCGCATAATTGGTAGCAATGTTTGCTGCCACTTTTTGCCGCAGATGCTGCTGCTGTTGCAGACGCATTCCGGACATGCCGGCAAAACACTTGTCAGCGACTTAAATGGCGCGCAGCTGTGCGGCATTAGCTTGGCCAAGAAGCCAACCAGCCAAGAAGCCAAGAGGCCAGGGAGGAGCCACCGCATCCAGTGGATGCCACGTCCATTGAGGACACACCTCCAGCTACATTGTGTGTGCCACTGGAAAAGGTGTTGCCACTGATGTTGCTGCCGATGCGGTTAGTGAGACATTTGATGTGATTATTGAGTTATGCCCAACGGGGGCAGCTTCTTCGCATATTTCTCTTAATTTTTTCATCAAATTGTTCTGTATTTGTTTTTTTCTTTTTCGAGAAATATGAGCTCGTTTTCTCACAATATTTATGTGTCAGCAGCAACAAATCAAAAAAAAAAGTGATAAGATGCCTGGAATTTGAAATTCCCATTTTTTTCCCCCCAATTTTAATAAAAAATTCGAAGGTTTCAAAATATGTATCTGATTATTTTCTGTTAACCAAAAAATTTAGTACATATTGAATTAAATATTCAAACTTTGATTTGACAAAAACTAGCTTTTATAAATTAGAATTAGAAAATATAACTAAAAATAACAATTTGCTTCTTACATTTAAAATTGTGGTGCATTTGAAACTCTTATTTGAATTAATTGTTTCTTCAAAATCTATAAAATATTTTATTTTTGTGTAAACTATAATTAGAGGCCAATTCTCGTGTTGTTCACTACAACTATCTTGATATGTATTAGATGAGGCTTATCAGCGCTTTAAGCCGGCAAATTCAGCCAACAAAACGATGGCAGCTGATAAAAATAACATGGAATGACAAAACTCGGAAAAGCAAAGTCAGCAACTGAGCAGCGCAGCAGGCGCACAACAACAACAACAGCAACAACTCCAAATGAGTAGTGGCTAAAGAAGAAGTAAAAACATAAAAAACAAAAAACAAAAAAGGGCAACACAGATTGCCAGCAGCACTAACAACAACAACAGGACACACACACACGCACGAACACCGAGCACTCCAGCTGTGCTGGCTGCAATCAATAAAACGGATTAGGAATATCCTTAAATGCGCCGCTCTCAAGAATGCTGCGAGCGCAATAGAGTGAGTGTGAGAGAGTAGAGAGTGAGAATGAGGCGAACAGTTGAAGATTGGGAGAGAGAAAGAGAGAGATAGGCAGACGCAGAGCATTAGGCAGCGTTGAAGGTGGGACTGCAAAACATTTACAATAACAACAACTAATGCGAATGGGCATCAAAGGCAAAAGGGAAATAAAAGTAACGGCACTTACATTCGATTTTTGTAGCTCCAACTGCTGATGCTGCTGCTGCTGCTTCTCCTTCTTCTCCTGCTGTTTCTCCTTCTGCTTACTGCTGCTGCTGCTACTGCTGATTGCTGTTGTTGTCGTTGTTGATTGTTAACACAAAAAAACTTTGAAACACTCGCGCGTATTGAGGATTTACCGTTTGATGGCGCGACAAAAGTCGTAAAGCTTGCAAAAACACTTGCACCAAAAAATTCGTACACACTCTCTATCTATCCATCTATCCCTGTCTCGCTCTGGCGAGTGTGACCTTAACGCCAACGACCTTTGGGGCGGCGTCTGCCGGCAAACACACACACACACAAATTGTAAACGCTGCTGTTGTTGTTGCTGTTATTTATGTATGCAAAAAGAACTGTGTACATTAATTGCATGCAAGGAAAGCCAACAGCTTCTGCCTGCGTCGCTGCTGCTGCTGTTGTTGTTATTGTTGTTGCTGTCTACCTTTCATTTAAAACGTCGCTGTTGCTAACATAATTGCAGGCAGCGCCGGCAGCAGCGCCGTCGACGCAACGAAAATTGCTCGTTTGTTTTTGTTGCTACTACTGCGTTCTGATGATGCTGCTGCTGTTGATGCTCAGATGCTGCTCCTGCTGCTGTGGGGAACACACACGATGTTAACGGCGATTTTTCAGCGTGCACACGACAAGAACAACAACAAGACAAAATACTTTTGCTGTTGTTGTTTTTACTTCTTCTTCTTCGTCTTCTGCTTATGATGCTGTATGTGTGTGTTTGTGTGTGTTATCACGATTTCATTTAATATGCTGCACGGGAAGCTCTCAAGCTTGTCATATTATAATTATTTGATTGTCGTTGCCTCTTCTTCTGCTTCTGATTCTGCTTTTCTTTTGTTTTTATTATCATTTAACACACGCGCGCACCGTTAAATTAGTTGTTGCTGGCTTCAATTGCATTTTCAACATTTTTAACTGAACCCAAAAATTTGAAACCGAGCTGAACGAAAAAAAGATGCACCACAAAAGATTTAAAAGGATGACCGATTTTTATCACTTCTTATTAAATGCAACGCAATAACCAAAACAACTCGTCCGTTCTAAGAAAGTATTGAATTGATATTGAGAGAGATGTATTTATTTATAATTTGTTTTATCCAGCGTTGGCGAGTTTTGTATTTTATCGCCTGTTTTTAGTTTCGTTGCCGTTGCGAGAAAACACACGTCCGCTCTCATCAAGAGTTGCTCGGCAACAGCAACGCAACTTGAAACAGCCGTGAAACAAACCCCAAACAGATGAAAGAAATGAAACGAGACGCAACGAAACGAACGGCATGGAACTGAACAAAACCAGGGGATAAATTGAGCCAAACGAAACAAAAGAGAGCCGAAGAGTAAGACCAAAGCGAACTGAGCGCGCAGGCAAACTGAACGAAACACAGTGAATTGAAACTAAGAGAAAACTCAACGAAGCCAAAAATATGCAAACACTGAACGAAATATTTCACACAGGTGATTTAAGACACAAATGTTTTAATCTCAGACCGATAAATTTGATCACCTGTTGTCACAATTAATTACACTGATCATAACTCATTCATATGTAATAAAATTAAAATTTATACTAATAAACTGAACTGAATTAAGAAAAGAAAACTTAACTGACTTGGAAAGGAATTCATTTAATAATCATAGATTGTATTTTAACTTTTGAACGATTTGGTTTCAAAATTATTCTTTCCCTTTTTTCACTCATAAATTGAATAAATACTATTTTAATTAAGTACTCATGATATATAATAACAAACGGACTGCTCAAGTTAAAATAAATAAAATTTTGAATATTTCCATTTGGGCAACAAATATAATAAATAAAAATATAATAAAAAAAAGACAGAAAGTCTTTCCAGACAGACTAAAATTAAGAAAATTAAAATTTAACATGCAGTAATTTTTACTTTCTTCTCTTGCTCTTAGACAAATGAGTTTTCAAGACACTTTTTTAATCAGAAAAGACGAGAGAGCCGGACTAGGAGATACCCTGGAGATATTTTTTATTCAATCTTAATGTGATTTCTACAGTTAATCAATAATGTATATTATGGAATATTGATACCTAGTTGTATGTATTTTCATGGCATTGGTAATCGATTTTTATCGATATATGACAAACCGAGCAAAGTTATTAGTAACATTAAAAATTTAAATCGCTGGCTCTTGAAGTGCCTTAAATTGGGTAATTTCAGAGGGATTGATATGGCTATAATCGTACTTGATAAAAGAATTTTGGCTTTATCTACTTTAAAGAAGATGGAAGATTTTTACCTCTTACACAACTTCATCGTATTCTTTTTAGCCATTTTTTTTAAGTTCGATGTAGGAATAACTGCAAACAGTTAAGAAAAATTAATTTTCTCTTTAGTTACAACAATTTTTTCTAACTGTATTTATCTGCATATATCTAAATTTGACAATTATTTTAGAGTAGAAATTAATGAAAGTGTAAAATGGCAATTCTCCTGAATGCAGTTCGTCATTGAACTTGGAGCATAGCAGATAGCCATAAGTCCGCATATTCTTGGCCGGTTGTTTTTAAGGTTGTAAAGAAGGGGGGGTTAAATTGCCTGCTGAAGGACATCAATTTGATTGGAACACCAACTCTGGGTCTCGACGAGGACACCAACATATCCCTGAAGGAGCTACACAATAACGAGGTCCTGGCTTTATTTTATATAGCAGAGTTCTACGATTCCTAACTGGTTTGCAATCATGTGAAAGGCGTCGAAATCTTTCCACGAATCTGGCAGAATTTTCAGAACAAAAAAAGCGTTAACAAAATTTGGCAGTTATTTGACCACCAACCAGCTAACAGGTCAACAGTCCTTGGGATGGCCATGTGAATAAACTGGATAATCCTGCAAATGGTTTCGAATGGTGAAATGGATTTGCCGATGCATATTCGAATTGCCACAAATCACTTTGAATACTCTCCGTTCTGTGTGGCATGTGTTGCCCTGTGGCAAGTAAATGAGTATCGGTGATGTTTTTGCAGTGGCCCAAAAAACTATTACTGATATCATCATTATTATCATTTTAATAGTTTCAAATGATTGGTTTAGGCCTTGTCGAAGGATGAGTAAATTTATGCAACTAAATAAATAGATAAAGATTCTAAAGAATCTGTTCAGATCAGTCGACTTTGGATTTTATTTAGCATAAAAAAACACAGTTTAACGTTTTGTTAATAATATTTACATTTATTTCGTTCTTATTTGTTAATTTTCATTGCATTTGTTTTACAATTTATAAGCTTAGTTTTTTTTTTTAGGTGTTTTGCATGTGTTTTGAAAACTCTCAATAAAAAAAAACTCAGTTTAAAACTTCGTTAAAAATATTTACATTTATTTCGTTCTTATTTTTTTAATTTTGCTTAGACGGTTTTATAAACCAATTACATTGCATGTGTTTTACAATTTTTATGTATTTAGTTTTTTCTTCTTTTTTTAGGTGTCTCAATCAATGTTGCAATAAAAGGACAAAAGATCAGCTGAGCAGTTGCGGCAAAGTATTCAACTCAGCTCGTCAGCTGCCTCGAGCCTGATTTTGTTAGATAGAAATAAGAAAACAGCCAGATCGTAGATCTCTAGGAGAAGATCCGTAATTGTGGAGCTCACACAGTGGAGATCATGTGGGCATCGTCCTCGTTGATGCGATCCTTGTTGCATTTGCCGTTGACCTCAATTGTGTGATTCGATTCGGTATCGCTGGGCTCCTGTTCGCCCTGCTCCCCCTCCTCCGCATCCTCCTCGGTATCGTCCTGACTGGATGAGGCTGAGCTCGAACCGTGCTCGGGCGATTCGCGCTCCTCGTTCTCCTCGTAGATGACATCACAGCTGGTGGCTATCGCTTTGGGCGGTGGCTTCTTCACGGTCTTGTTCCGTGGCGCTCCATCGCCATTCTGCTGCAGCTCGGACATTTGGATTTGCATCTCGCGCAGCCGATCGGTGAGCACAAACAGATCCCGCTCCTGGCTATCACAGCGCGTCCGCAGCTCCGAAATCTCACGCAAATCCTCGGCACGCGGATCACGTCGCTCATAGCGCATTCTCATCTCCTCGAAACTGTAAGTGGAGTTTTCGAGAGGGTTTTGATTAGTTGAAAGCAACTCAGAACTGGCACAAAGCTTAGCGAACAACATTTACAACATGGCTAAGCAACGACAGGATATATTTTGGGATTAGATAAATCTCAGATTGGGGTAGATAGATTATACACTCAGAGAGAAACGCTCTTCTAAAGGCAAGTACCAGCGGCAAAGAATACAATTTATAAATGAATTCAAAATTATATAAATTAATAACAATTGAGCAAGAATTTGTTAACTCAAATGCTTAACTTCAAAGAGATCTTAACATGATATCGGAATTCATTGAGTATATCTTACTTCAAGCACTTGAACTATTAATTTAAAAATTTCTTCAACATCTTTGAGATGCATCGTATCTTAATTGATGCCATCTCACATCATGGTTGGTCAATAAATTCGATGCTGGATGCTGTATTTCTGCCAGTGCACTTGCCTTGAATGCGAAATTCTCTACTGTTTTTGTTGTTGTGGTTGTTGTTGTGGTTGTTGTGGTTGAGTGTAATGGACTTACAGATTGGTCAGGCAGCGGCATTTGCGATGCAGTTGCTCGATCTCGTTGGCATTGCTAATGTCGCGTTTGTCCAGCGCCGCCTTCTCGGCATCGTAGGCCGCCTTCAGATCCTTCAGGTGGCGCTGATGCCGAAGCTCTACATCGCTGTTGATTGATTTGGGTGTTAGGGTTGGGTTGAGGTTGTACACAAGCACAGACATACAAATACATATATAGAGAAAGAGAGATTGCGTAGGTATATAGCGAAAAAGAGAAAGTAAGTATAAGATATATATATATATATAACTATATATTGTTGGTAGCAAAGCAGGCATTGATTGTTTGTTTGTTTGATTGATTGATTGATTGATTAACACATTGCTATATTTTGATAAAACTTAAGTCTACTGTAAATGATTCACTCAATCGCGCAACAGATGACGATATTTGATATAGAGCACAGCGATAATATTGAACACTAAACATGCTAATGCAATCAGTGGCGACATTGTCAGATATAGCACATATAGTGTGGGCATATACGGACACGCCCCCTTCGCAAGCACACACAAGGCGGTGGTAAATAGAGGCGTTGTCCTCGAACCAACTAAACCAATGCAGCTGAACGTAATAATATATAGAAAAGAGAACAAAATACAAGTAAATGAAGTGAATCGATGCAGGCAATATATGAATGAAATGAGGTGGCATTCAACAACAACAAGAGGACAACTCTAGGCTCTACACTCGGCTAAAAACATGCCCTCAAACTCAGAAAATCTTTTCAAAATATTCATTTCTAAACAGCTTCAGTTTGTCCTAAAAATCAGATTTATTTGAGGTATTTTGTCTTAAGCTGTTGAAGTTAATTTAGCAATAAAGTTATTTCTTAGAATTTTTCTAATTTTACTGTTTTTTTTTAATTTTTTGGGTTTCTAATTTCCAGAAAAATATTACTCAAAAATTGGAACTTTTTAAATTTGAAAAAATATGTTGCCCATCTTTAAATGTTTACTTATTATCAGATTTAATTGTTTGTTTTCAAATACAATTTTCATCACTTTTAAACATTTTTAAAAATTTCAACTAATTTTGAAGAATTTTAAAAATATTTAAGTTTGCTACTATTATTTTGCGAGATTTCGATTATCGATTAGCGTCAAGTTTATCGATATGCAAGAAATGTTTTTGTTTAATTTAGGATGCAAATTAAAATCGTAAAAATTTCAAGTAATGGAAAGATGAGAAAGATATTTTATGAAAAAAAATTGAAAATATATTTTTAAATGAAAAATTGATAATGACGCTTGAAGTTTTAGGGCGATTTTCTGAATTTGGTATGAAGGGCATATTTTAATTAGAGCTTGCGAACAGGCACTACATAAAAATGATTAGCTTTATTACAGTTGGCTATGGTTGAGGTAAACAGGTACAGGTACAGGTACAGTTACAGGGTGCAGGCATTATTTAGAGCCACTCACTTGATTTGTTCCTCGGCAGCAGCCATTTTGGCGCGATGTCGCTCGACCAGCTCCTGGAGAGCTTCCTCCTTTTCGGATTGCAGCTTCGCCTTCTGGATTTCTATAAGCAAATCAAATTGTGAGCTTATTGTTTCTTTTATAGATGTATCTCTATCTCTCTCTCTCTCTCTCTCTTTCTGTCTTTGTTTCGCCTACCCATGTCCTTGCGATGCGTCTCTACCATTTCTTGCGTGGACAATTGCAGCTCCTTGGCAAACTCCTCCTTGACTTGACCCAAACGCTCACAGAATTTCTCCTCCATTTCCTGTTTCTCTTCCTCAAACTCTTGTTTGTATTTCGTCTCCAGCTCCAAGCGACGATCCTCCTCGCGGCACATCGCATTCTGATACTCCCGATCTGCCCGATCCAGATGCATTCGCGTCTGCAGCAGCGCATTGTCGGAGCGTTCGCGCAGCGTTAGAAAGTCCTGTTTCTTTAGCTCCAGATTCTCAGTCAGCTCCTCGATCTGCAATTTCAATGAGTGTTAATGGAGCTTTAACAAACATATATATATATATATATATATATATTGTGGACAACCTCGGCACGCAGCTCCTCCTCGTTGGCCGTGTAGCGATTGGTCAGCGCACGCAACTCCTCAATGTGCTCCGCCTGCAGCTTATCTAGAGCATCGCGACGCTCATCCACATAAACGGATTCCAGTTCATTAGTCAGTCTTGTCATCTCTGTGCTGTGAATATAATAAATGGGAATGTCAATATGTATTATAGCTGAGTTAACATTTTGTATTTATTTCTCATAATCTTAGCAATCAGTTGTCGACTTATTTTGCTCTAGTAAAAATTGTACTTTTCTAATAAATATAATAATAATAATAATAATAATAATAATAATAATAATAATAATAATAATAATAATAATAATAATAATAATAATAATATAAATAATAATAATAATAATAATGATAATAATAATAATAATAATAATAATAATAATAATAATAATAATAATAATAATAATAATAATAATAATAATAATAATAATAATAATAATAATAATAATAATAATAATAATAATAATAATAATAATAATAATAATAATAATAATAATAATAATAATGATAATAATAATAATAATAATAATAACAATAATAATAAATAAAAAAATTTCTTAAAATTAGAAAGACTTCTTTTCTATTTTTTATATATCTATTTATTAATAATAGAAAATATTTCTAAAAGTAAAAAATTCAGCAAATAGGAATGACTACTGTGAAAGTGTTTAGCTTTTGTCTGTTGACTTTCCATGTTTCTAGAAATTCACTTTAAACTTTCATAACTTCATTAAAACTTTGTCAAATCGAATTTACCAAAGTTCAATAATTATAGCAAGGAAAACTTTTGTTTGCATCTATATAAAGATGTGCATATATTGATAAATAGATATAGAATATTCCAAATTCAAACGGTTTGCATATATTTTTAAGTATATATTCTCTCATTCTAAATGTTTATCACTTACTAAAGTTTATTCTCCCAAAAGGCGGCAGCTTCGTTGCGCACCTCATCGATGCGATAGATCATTTGACGCTCCTTATCATAAATGGCGCTGCAATTGGCATTTGAGAACCGTTCGAATTCAATCGAAATATATAACAAAATAAAGTTGTGACACTTACTTATCACACTGATATTTAATCTTGTGCACAGCCTCGATCTGGGTCTCCAGATTGCTGTTGGCCGTTTCGAGCTCACTTTTCAGATTATCGATGCGTTGCATCAGCGTTTCTATGGAGCGCTCCTGTTCGCTGACAACACCACTCAAGGACTTCACCTGTGCCTGGCAAATGCGCAAGCTTTCTGCCTCCTTGCGTCGCGACTGCAGCTCCAGATCCAGTTCCTCAGCCTTGGCCGATGCCTGTTTGCGTTCGTAATTGGATTTGTCAAGTTTGTCCTTGCACTGGCGCTGCATTTGACGCATCTGCCACTCGCAGTCCATCATCAAGTTGTCCTCGCGTTCTGTCAATCAAAACAGATGAACGGATGTGTTTATGTGTTTTCTATTACAATGTGTGTGTGCATCTGTGTGTGTGTGTGTGTGTGTGTGTCTGTGTGTGTAGGTTGCACTCACCTCGATTTTGGGTGCGCAGCATTTCAAACTCCTTCTGCCATTTATCCTCGCAGATTTTTCGCTCCGCTTCCGAATTGTCGAACGCATTCTTGAGGATGCGTACTTGCTCCTCCAGTTCAGCGCGTATCGTGGTCACCTCCTTGCGCCACGCCTCCGCCTCAATCTGAGCATCTGCCACCTGAGTGTGCAGGTGGCTTGCCAAACTCTGTGTCTCTTTGTACTTTTCGGTTAGTTCGGTGTACTCCGCCTCCAGTCCGTCTGAAAAGAGTTGTTTTCATTTTGACTGAATGGCCAAGTAGAAGCTCGGAGAACTCACTGTATTTGCGTCGGAATTCATCCTCATCGTCGCTGTATTTGTGACGTAAATTTATTTTTTCATCCTCGAGCAGCTTCAGCCTTTTGCGCACAAACTCATCATCCTTTTGGGCCGCCGTCAGTTCACCTTGGAGTCCTAGAATTCAAAAATATAAAGTGAACATTTTTGACGCTTGTCTTCACATCTCTTCACGTCACTTACTATCCACATTCCATTGTTTAACCGATAGTTCCTTTTCCAGATTTTGTATCTTTACCTGCATATCACTCGCTTTGGCCTCCAGACTTTGAAGATTTTTGTGCGCATTCTCGAGCTGTGTATTGAAACGCGTCTTTTGCAGCTTGAGCTCTTTTCTGTAATTTATATTTAAAACAAATTGTAGTTCGTTATTAATCATTTTGTGAAGCCATAGCTCTTCGGATATTAAGAGACAAGACACAAAAATATTCTATACATTTCAGAGCATATACACACACATGTATATAGTATATAATTGGACAACAAATCTTTTTAGAAAACAAAATGACTCAGCGACGAGAGCAGGCGTGAGCAGACGTGAGCAGCACACGCACTGATGTCTTATGCTAGATTTCTTGTACTAAGCTACAACATAAATAAATAAATAAATAGAGAAAAAAATAATAAACAAGTGTGGCAAGTGGGACAGATACCCTGTACACTAGTCTCGAAAGGCTTAGCGGCGGAAAGTGGGAAAACACAAAGACAGATTTACTCAAAAAATAATGGTAAATGATTTGGTGAAAAATTGAGCATATCTATCAATAAACTGATCAAGAATCGTTTCTTAATTATGAAATAATATTTTTTAATGCGATAAATGTGACTTTTTCATCTGTTAATTGCAATATAACAGAGAAAACAATGAAATTCAAGTCACGTTTAAAATTTAATTTAGACTTGCTTATATTTTGGAACCATCAAATAGATAAAGTGTGACTTTTATAATTGCAGTGCTCTTTGTTTTATTTTACACAGAATTTTATAGTTTAAGTATCTAGTAATTTTTAAGATATTTCTGACTACAAATTCATATTAATCGATTTTTGAAACAGAAATGATCTTTGAATTTGATCTCATTCGAGAAATACACTTAAATCGATTTGGGAAAGTATTAAAAAAAAGCAACAATAGAGTTGGATCTGCGATAGAATATTTAACAAATATAAATGATATTCTGAGCACAAATAGATGAACAGACAGGAAGACAGAGTGACGAGCATAGTTCGATCGATTGTCCTTTTGATGTTGAGGAGGATATTGAAGAATATGCAGAGATGCCTGTTCACTTTCAGTTATGAGCTGCTTGTCAATCACTTTCAATTGATATAGCGTATTTGAATTGAACAACACACCTATCCAAAGCAGACATTCACACAAATACTATGTAAACACATATATATTTATATATATTTGTATATATGCAAACGGTTTGACGCACTTGAATCGAAAGACTCGTAAAATGAAAATGAGGTGCAAGAAAATGCCAAAACTGAAAAAGAGCATGCTGGGAATGTCTTCCTCATGCCATAATTCGCTGGCGACGTAGTCAAAGACATGCGCACTTATTTAATATTTGCTTTTGTTTAAACGCAAAATAAAATACGCTTTAATTGAATGTAACTCATTTTGATTTTGTTGCCCAGCTATTTTTAAATGAGAAACGCTGGGCACTTTTGGCAAGTGTTAAAGATACTCGACACTGGCGACAATCAGCGACAGATTTATCAAAATTCGGACACGCGATTCTTCGTTGTCAGTTACAATATACAAAGATACACACACACACACACACACACATAGAAAAATGTATCTTGCAAAGTTATTTCAATTATTTTGGCATAAGTTTGTTGCTGGGCGCAGAATGCTTTTTTAGTGTGCTGCGTTTGTTTATGCTCAAGTTGTTCATGAATTTAGTTAACTAAACAACACACATAAGTTATATGCACATTAAAGAGATTACGCATACGCCCCATTGTGCTGAGCAAAGTGTAAACATTTGAAGATTGCCAAGCAATTGATGGGCCAAAATAATGTTTACTTGGCCATATTTCCATGCGCCAATCTGTTAACTCAAGTGCAGCCACAACAAAAGTGCTTCGACATGTCTAATTTTGAAACTTTTGCATTTTGGCGTCCGGTGGCAAAGGCAAAAAAAAAAAATAATGATAATACAGCTAAAATAAACCGGAAAAAGTAGAGCAGAGTCGGTTCGTGTTCTATGCATATTTTTGAAAACGACGTGAATATATGAAAACATGAAACTTATTGAAAAACTGGCGTGGGAAAAATGCGAACGAACATGTTGCCAAGAAATGACGATTGCGAATTTATTTTCAGATGATTTACGTGCATCGTGAAAATGACCAAAATGGAAATGTTTCTGCCAGGCCACTGAATGGCGTTCAATTGGATTGCTTGTTAAATGTTAAATAACTGTATATAAATATGTCTGTGAATAATTAGTGGCCGGATAAATATGTAAATATTTATATATATATATATAGATATACATATATAGTTGGGGCGGAGACACTTGTCGACCGGCTGTCACAATCCATCATCATTTTTGAAGGCCAAACAATGGTCAAGTGGTATTTGGTATATGGTATTTGATACATACAATGTGTATACACAAATACAAATACATTGCTTAAATGTTGCGTATGCATAATGAGTGCATTTAAAATACAAATAATTATATATGCAAAAAAAAAAAAAGAAAAGAACAAAAGTGATTGAAGAGCGAGCATAGTGAAAGTTGAACAGAATGTGTGCTTAGTATTTAGATAAATGATTCTAGTATTTTGGATGACTGACAGAGAAAATACACAAAAAACTTAAGTACTTAGGTAAAGAATTGCTTAAAGGAGGGAAGACAAGTGAGTAAATACCAAAAGAAAACAAATAAGTGCCTAAATATTGGTTCATGGCCAGCTTTCAATTCACAAAATTAGACTACAGTATAAAGTTCAATTAGTAAATTAAAAATATACTTTCAAGTAACAAGCGAAAATACATAAGAAAATAAAAAACAATTGCTAAATGCTTCCATATGAATATTTTTGATAAGTTTTTTGTAGCTTGTAGTTGTCAATATTTATGCACTTTTAACATATGCTGAGCATAATTTCAAGGCTTGATTTCCATGTATAATATTCTGTGTATGAAATTTTGATTGGCATATGAAAATGCAAAAAAAAAATAAAGAAAATAAAAAGGAAAATTTTAATGAGCAATACATATTTGCAGATGAAATACAAGCTATAAAAAATGTGGTTTTCTTTCTGTTAAAAATAGGCGCCTTCGCTGGAATAATGCCACAAAATGTACACATAAAATGTATAAATGAGTGAGGGATAAAATGGAAAAAAAGACAAAAGATTTAAATGAATGAACGAAGAAAATGACATGGAAAATTGTGTGGCCAAACGGATTAATTAAGCGAATGCGTTGCACAAAGGAGAAAACTTCAATTGCAACAATACACACAAATATTGCGCCACACACAATAAACAATAAACAAAAGAGGCCAAAGCTGGTTGAGCAGTTGAGTCAGACAAAAAAAAAGAATCTAAATCAGGCATTAGATCATCGCTTTTGTTTAGCTGCTGGATTGCGGGGCATATGTGGCGTATACGTTACTTGAGCTCCAGCGTCGCCTCGTCGCGATCCTGTGCAGCCGCATTATTCAATACACTGCCATCCTCAACAATTTCGACGTTGCGCCCCAAACAGCTATCGTCCTGACTGCGCTGCTTGGGACTGCTGCTGCGACTGCGCGGCGAGCCAGCTCCCTCTATGTGAATGGGTATAAAATGCACATTGCCCAAGGAATTGCCTGAGGCGCCATTTTGTATATTGATATTGAGATGTCCATCATCGTTGTTGTTGCTGTTGTTGTTGTTGTTACTGTTGGCAGTTCCACTGTTGCTGGCATTTATTGCCGCTGTTGTTGTTGCCGTTGTCGCGGACGTTGACTCGACAACAACATCGGGCAGGCTAATGCTCTCGATGCACACCAAACGCTGCTCACTAAAAAGCTGATGATGATCATCGAGTTCGTCGCACTGAAGCAGCAACAACTCATCTCCGTCGCAGTCGCAGTCCGTTGACGTTGACTTGCCATCACGGATGAAGGGCGAGCGCAACGGAACCGTTGATGAGCAGCGCATCGTTTGCTGTTGTTGTTGTTGTTGCTGTTGTTGTTGCTGTTGCTGTTGTCCCATTCCCATGCTCATTCCAATGCCGGAATCCGCATAGCTGCTGCTTAAATTGGAATCGCTTTTCAGAGCGCTGCGCTCGCTGCTCGCCGATTGCCGCGAATCGTGCAGCTCATCATGATCCAAATCCAATGCCTCATCCAGTTCATCATCTTCCGGTTCGGGTTCGGCGTCCTCATCCTCATCCTCATTCTCCTCCTCGCCCTCCTCCTCCTCCTCCTCCTCCTCCAGCACATTCTCCAGCTTGACATTGGTTAGACGTGTCCAAGGTCGGCCGCCAATTCCGGCATTTGCCTGCTGATAGACAGTTGTGGGTATATCCGCAGCAAACACCTCATCCTCGAGTGTCTCCACATGCGCCTCATTCAATTCCTCAATATTCAACTCGTTGCTCTCGTAGAATATCTCCGCTTGATCTGGACTCCGACTGCGACTTTGCTCAAGGCTGCAGTCTACGACTGTAATTTTGGGCAACTGTTGCTGTTGCTGCTGCTGCTGTTGCTGCTGCTGTTGTTGCTGTTGTTGTTGTTGCTGTTGTTGTTGTTGCTGCTGTTGCTGCTGCTGTTGTTGCTGTTTCTGTTGTCGTGGCGGCGCTATGGGCACACTTTGCTCTTCCGGCTCGCTCACGACTGACTCACGAAAATCACGCGGCGTGCTGGCTCGTGAGCTGTCCGCCGATTGCGAGCATTCGTTGGGTTTGGCGCTCGTTTGGCCCATGCTGATTGCTGTTGTTCTTGTTGTTGTTGTTGTTGCTGCTGCTGTTGTTATGTTGTTGGTTATGTCACCAGTGTTGCTGTTGTTGTTGCTGCTGCTGTTGTTGTGGCTGTTGCGCTGCAGAGTTGCATCGCTTTGCTGATCTGCCGCGACAGTGCACAGTTCGACGTTTGCCGCTTGAATAAAATTGGCACTCGCTGCTGCTGTTGCTGCTCTGTTGTTCATCTGCTCATCTTCTCGTCGCACATCTCTCTCACTCTCTGGCTGATGCTGATGTTGCTGTTGCTCCTGCTGACGCATTGCTCCAGCTGAATTACTGCTGCTGCGGCTACTGCTGCTATTGCTCCTCTCTCGATCGCGTTCGCTCTCTCGCTCTTTACTCTGTGCGCTATTATTAGACATCGTCATTTGATAACTATTTGTGGACGCGGTCGCGGCGGGGTCGGAGTTCGTTTCAAGGTGTGCGGATGCCAGCGCCGCTGGTCGTGCTGCCAGCGCCTGTCCAACACTGATTACGTTAACGTCGTTAGCGTTTTTCGATTTTAACTGTTGTTGCTGTTGCTGCTGCTGTTGATGGCGGTGTTGCTGCTGCTGCTGCTGCTGATGTTGCTGTTGATTCCGTTGATGATGATTACGTCCACGCGCCATGAAAATTTCACTCAAAAAATCGCGACTCTTTTGCAGTGTTTTACGCTTCTTGGACGACACGACAGACTCCTCGGACTCTGCGGTTGCAGTCGTCTCGGCACCGCCTTCCCGATTGCCACCCAAATGCAGCGCTAAATTGCCAAGCGATAGACGCGATTGTCGTTTCTGTTCGTTCGATTGCTTCGATTGCTGGCGATAAGTCACCTTATTATCCGTTTCTACATTAATTACCGTGCCAGCGTTTTGTGTTTGTTGTTGCCTGAGCTGTTGAGCATTGCCATCGATATTGTTGTTGTCGCAATTCGTTTGGCCTCTGCTGCTATTGCTGCTATTGCTGCCGTTGCTATTGCTGCTGCCAATTAGCCAATGACCGCCTCCGTTGTTTGCCTCGTTTTGACTGCCCGCCACAGAAAGATGCCCAGCAGCCGCCGTCCCACTAACAACAGTCGTCGTTGTCCTCCCTGTCGCTGTCGCCCCATTGCCTGCGCCCATGTTATTTATATTCAACATATTCTCCGACCGCCAACAGATTGCTGAATGGCCATTAGCAGCAGCAGCAACAGTCGGAGCACTCTGAGCAGTCGGAGCAACAGCAGCTGTTTTTGCTAAATTTACACATTGCCACTCTTCGTCTAGTTCGCTGGCGTCGCTGCCAAAGTCCTCCAACTCTTCGATGACAGCGCGTCGCGGCAAGCGATCAGCTCTCCTCAGTTGCTCACAATCTCTTTGGCACTGGTCGCTGTTCGCTCTGGCGCTGAATACGCAACGGTTCTCATTGTTGCTATTACTGCTGCCCGTACTCGGAGCGCTCCTTGAAATTGTTGCTGTTGCTGTTGGTGTTGCTGTTGCTGTTGCTGTCGTCTTCTCCTTCTCCTCATCGTCACTCACATCGTAGTTTCTGTTTTTATGCGCTTTTCTCTGTCGCGTGCGTCGCAGCAAATTAAACATTTTTCTTAATTTCTTTTCGATGTTTTAGTTATACACACATATGCAGTATATATTTAATTTTATATATCATCTGTTTGCATATGCATCTTTGTTGTTGCTGCTGCTGTTGCTGCTGCTGTTGCTGTTGCTGCTGTTGCTGCTGTTGCTGTTGCTGTCAGCTCTTAATGTTTTTACAGCTTTTCACTTTTGCTCTGTTTCGTTTGTTTTTCGTTTATAAACAAATCGTTTTTATCGCTTATTTCAGTGTTAACACATCTGATCGCATTTAACCTGTTGATAAATACACAATATAATCATTTAGTTTGCATCTACATATGACATTTGCCGATGATGACAGAGTTCATGTTCAGCTATATATAGCTAATTAGCATTATTATTTTTAGTTTACTTACAGCCACTAATCTTCGACGAGCTCAGTGCTGCGATCGGGCTGACGGCTGGCCTGGAACTGGAACTGGAAATGCGATTGCTCCGATGCGATGACAAAACACTGGACAAATATGAGCAACACTCGCTAACTACACTTGACAAAAAGACACATGGCATAATTAATTTTAATTGTGATTCTATTGTTCAGATACATATCTAGGCACATACACATATATATATATATATATGTATCTATACATATATATTGCTGATGGTAAGCCGGCCAGCGGTTTAGATTAAGCGCTTCTCAAATGCATGTCTGTGTGTGTGTGTGTGTGTGTGTGTGTGTCTGCTTATGAATATTAATTGATGTGTGGCAGGCCATTATGTGTCATCAGAACATCAGCGACAATTGCTTCAGCTTTACTCATTGCCCATTTAGCTATGCATATTTCACTTGTGTTCGCAATTGATAAACTGAAGACGATTCAATTTGGAAAGTAAAAGTTGACTCGACACAAAGGCCACTTAGTAGTCAAGCAAATAAGTATAGCAACTACAAATTTAATAATTTTCAGAATAGTTTATATTTATTTAATATCTAATATAAAATAGAATATATATATTATATATAAATATGCACCAATGAAAGATTAAGGATTACTTTACTCTTTTTCTCCTATCTCTAACAATACTTAATCAGAGTATAATTATTAATTTTTTATTTTGCAACTCGCTGATAGTAAAAGCTATATTTTTATGCATTTTTCTACAATAAGTATGTAAATTTGACGACCTGAACTTCAAAATACAATAATGTATTACGCTTTTTCTCACAACTTAAATATATATAATATATTATTATTATTATTATCAGAAAAAGACGATTTTAATAATTAACTATAATACAATAATATTCTCTACGCTTTAACACTGTCTATTTCTATGAATTGATTTAAAGTGCCTGTTAAATTTCTACTCTTTATATATGTTAATAGAAAACTACTCGATTACAGGCAATTGCTTGATATTTTTTCCAGTGCACTGAGTCAGCTGGCACTTGAACACTCCGCCAAAAGTTCAAATTGCAGCAGCATAACAAAAATAAACTAATCAGTGTGCCCTGATGTACAACATCATAATTCCAGAAAAAACAACTACAGCACTCATGCTCTCAGGCATAGGAAAGAGTTAACTCCAATCCAACTCGAATGTGGCCACAACATTAAAGAGTTTCAAGTTCAGGGCGCGAAAGCCTCTGCACATAAACAGACCAATTATAGGCAGCAATGAAAATGGCAACGTTCCTCCAAGGAAAGACAGAGAATATATCGCTAAAATTAGAGCCAGATTCGAGAATACGAATTGTATTTTGTAGGGCCCATTACTCAAGGGGAAACACATTGACGTCACCATAAATGATGCGAAACGGCAGCGTGCGCGTGTTATAAGTAGATACAACAACAATAACAATAACAACAACAACAATAACAACAACAAGCAGGAGGCAGACAAGATGTGTCCAGACCCGTTGCATTTGATTGTGCCCCTAATTGATGGGGCCTGTGAATTTTCGCGAACTTTGCGGCGCAATTTACGTCTTCCATTGAATTTTATTTATTTTGAAAATAGATAAATGCTAAAAATACTCATTGCACGTAATTTGCGCAAAATTTGGAAAACGTCAAACGGCCGACAACAAGTAAAAGACATGAAGAGGTAAAAGGAGAATGGGATTTTATTTAATTTTTTTTTTTGGCTAGGTTTTTGGCATTAAATTGAAGATAAGCAAAGCCGACAACCGGAAATGATGCAGCAACAATATAATAGCAATCTGTTCGGATTAGAAGATCTAAAGATATGTATACAATATACAAATATGTAAATAATTTAAGAATTATGGATGTGCAGCTGTGGCTTATGGAATCCAACGATAGTCCAAGCAACCGCTGACCCACATTTTAAAGACGTTCAAGTTTACAGCCTTCGGCAGATGCCATCAACATAATTTGTAGTGAATAAATAAGTTTTATTTACAAAAGAAGACAGTAAATCAATGCCAATTGTTGCACAATTCCAAAAAGATTTCATAAGTATTTACGAGTGAATACAAAAAAAACGTCCAATATATTAATGGAGCAATAAATTTTGCACTTCGTTCAATGCCATACCAGCCTAAGTAGGCATAAGTATTTAAAAAATGTGATAAAGAAGAGAAATTATTAAAAATAATTATTAAAATAAAAGATGAAATATAGCTTGAGAAATATTTGTTGCTCAACATATGTTTTCAATATCAGCAGAGTATATTCATCTGCCATAATTGTGGCCTGCCACTTGATACTCGTACTTGACACATGGAAAAACAGACAAAACCCAAAAAAAAAAAGAAAAACAATTGAAAATTGCTTGGAAAAGTTCTTTTTTTTCTAGTTGCGTTGAGCAACTTTGCCGTTACTATGTAGCGCATCTAAAAATTTCCACTTCACTCCTCATCCACACGGCTGCAGTCCATGGTCCATGTCGTCGCACACTTTCCCTTTTATTTGTCTATGTACGCCCCCGCCGATTTGGCAGCGGGCCAACTGACATTGACTGATGCCAGACTCAACCGAGACCCGTTAGCCAGCAAAACAGCCAAACAGCCAAATAGCCAAGTCAGGCAGGCATCTAGTCAGGCAGAATTCTATGAGTTCTTCGAGTTCCATCAGATGATCTGATGTTTGGCGGCATGTGTGGGTTAATGTTATTCTGTTGACTTTTGTTAAGCTCTTAGCGCTTAGCATATTGTGATTTTATAAACAATTTCGGTGCGCTTTCCAGCTTTACATATCATTTGTAGCTAAATAAAGATGAAGATGGCCCCACAAAGGTAATCAAAAATTGTCGTCTGAATTATGAATGCGTAGCAAACAGATTTGTAAAGCATGACGGGGACCGGTGAAGAGCAGGCAGGCATTGTGACTGGCATAAATTGTTGGAAAAATTAGTGAAACACATTTGAGACTATTAAAGCGTGTGACAGCATCTAAATTATTGCGACATGCGGCATTAAACTGCTTTAAAGGTGTTGAGTAAATTAATTAATAGAGCATTCGACTGAAGCGCAGACAAAGACAAATTAATTGCCCTAGGCAAAGTATTTAAAAACAATAATCAACCTGTAAGGAGCACAACGAACGTTGGATAGTTTTAGTCACCAATAATAATTAACACACACTTTCAGCATTGATTTGCTTAAATACAACACATATTATTTATTTTACAATTTTATTTTGATAATACATATTATTCAAATATTTGTCATTTCTGTTAGCATTTTAGGCGCGCACATCTGGGCTGCCCTTTACAATTTGATACATTTATCAACTGTCACTAGACACGAAAACACTTGTTAAACGCTCAGAAAACACTCGGCGCATGCGGCGTATGCGCAACGAACGAATAAACGTCGAAAAACCATTTTTACCACACAATAAAAGCGCACGGCGCTCGTTCCAAGCGGCGCAACAAACTTTTCACGACTGAAAAGCCAGCTGCTCAGCGCTGTCGACGTCGCGACGTGAAAATTTGTCGTGCAAGTGAAATTCGGTGGCACAACAATCGCATATCGATAGGCACAAAGACGAAACCCGAATGGACCGCAATAGACTCCATTTAATAGCATGATAGTCTTGGGGTAATCAAAATCGTTGGAATACTTTTATGGCGCCAACACATCAAACATTTTTTTAATGCTTCGTTTAGGAATTTATTCTGAGCATTTTATTTGTTGTTCCTATTATGACGTAAAGCACAAACTTCTCCGATTACTTAGTTTTATTACATCACATAAGTGATTTGTTATTCAAGTAATGATGTTAAATATATGTATATGTGTGATCATTCGAGTATATATATTGAACTTATAAGTTTCCTGAAATTCCCACTAAGCTTTAAGATACGGCGAGTGATCTTCATTTCATTTTGTTGTTAATAAACTTTTGTGTTATTAGTTAATAGTTATTTAACGAATTATTTAATTATACATTTGAGATAATATAAGTATATATATATTGTACTCTTAAGTCGTCTATTGAGGCTTTAACCTTAGCACTCACCAGGTGATCTCCACATTTTAATTATTATTTTTGGATGTCAAACTGACTGCATGATTCTTTTGTTACATCGTTTTAGATTAATCCGTACAATAGATGTCAAAGCCAAAGCTCTTAGTCAAATGAATAAATCCTGTAAAGTCTCTCTACACATTGAATTTTTATTTAAGATAAGCCCTATTTGAGTCCTACTTGACAGTATTAATCCGAGACTTACAAACTTACGAAACTTCTGATAAATGTCCACGATTTTCCACAAATTCGGCAATGATTGAGAAGCAGTACTAGTATATATCATATTCATATATTTCTCATCTGACACAAATTCAGCATTTGCTGAATGTCCGAATTCATTATCTAATTTAAGCAACTAAGGAAACAAAACCTTTAATTCACTATAACGTAACTCCTCAAAATTTCAAATCTGTCTATTCTGAGGATTTGAGGGGGAATATATTAAATAAAGTCTACGTTGAAAAATCCAATTAGTCGAAGCTACAATTAAAGTTTCAATAACTACGAAAATCAAATATGCTTCCAAAACTATCGTAGAATAGGTTCCTAAGCCCGTGAACACATCTCCGAAGCTCATTTCCCTTCAAGCGGGAACAAGAACAAAGCCATAAGACCATTCAATAAAAAATTATAGTTTATATGTGTACTCAAATACCTCCACCTATTTGGGAAAGGTTGGCTAGATATGTCAATCACTCCATTTTCTGTCAATCTTAAAAGTTCATCAATTTTCCAGTTCAGTTCATTTAATGATCGCAGCCAACGTAATCAAATATTGTGTTCCTTTGCCAACTCGAAGTTAAATACGTCAGAGGAACTATATAGCTTTTTGCTCTCCCTTCCCACGAAACTCCGAGGTGACACCAAATCTGGTAAAACAATCGGCGTCTTTCCTCTTTCCTCTAATAATGTTGGATAGGCCTCCCTGAAACTGGGAAAAGAGAAGCAGAAGCAGGCGAAGATGGCTGACTAACTGAGCTCTAGTTTGGCCATATCATTAATTAATCTTATTAATTTTAACATTCCTTTAAATGAGCTCCCTAACATTTGACTGCTGGTGATAAGTGCACTTGATAATTTTATGATTATATTGATTATTTGTGATGGAGCTTCATCAAGATATATTTTAAATTAATTAGTTTTCACTAATTGCTCTGTTAAATGTTAATACGTTGTTAGATTTAGATACTTGTTAGCGTTTATTTATGTGTTCTTATAACTCCTACAGTATTTACGCAAGTATACTAATATATATATAAAAAAAAATTAAATTAATAATTGTTATTTTCTTTATTATAATTATAAGTCTTAAATATTCATTGAATTTTGAATTTTTTTTTAATATGATATGCATGATAGTTATGTGCTCGAAGGCATTTGCTATTTGTTATTTAAAATGTTAATTGTTTAAAAAACAAATAATTAATTCACACAGCTGGAGCGGCAACTGATCCGTAAAAACATGCATCTAATTTATAAACAATGTGTTTTAATGACCAGTTGAATTCCACGAAAATGCTTTTGTTTTGCCAAAGCCAAAACTGAAACGAATTGCGAAAACAACCAAATATATATCATGTTGATTAATCTTAACAAGCGGCGCCGATTTTCAATATAAATTTAGCAAGTTTTTTTTAATGCATTTTCAATCCCCCATGCGCTTGTGTAAATAATCATAGATGATATGCCGTTGTTGTTTTAGATATTTTGTACCTCAAGACAATTACAAGACTCATGCCAAGTCCTAACGATGCTAATTTGATTAATTTGCAATGCCCACAGCCGCACACACTAACAGTCACACGTGTCGGATGTGTAATGTATGTAATACGCGCGCTTCAGCTGTTTATTAAACCTTAATTAAAGCTTGTTATTGTCGTCAAGCCAAGTTAATTGAACAAGCACGTCCTTTTCATTATGCTGATTGAGCGTGCCATCAATTGCGGAATGTCGTTACGACCCTAGAGATGAGGACATCTTGAAGGCGAATGCCTGCTCGAGCGATTTTCATGGCATACATTGCATAAATATTAAAGCAGTAATTTCAAATTTAAATATGACCTAAGCAAATTAAAATTGCTAAGTGCCGTACTCAATTTCAATGCATTTAAATCCATGGCTTTCAAATTTATCGAGTATATTTATATATTGTTTAGGTTGAAAACAACTTGCAATACTCACCGGTCTTTTGGGGTTACAAATCTGAACTATTTATAATCAATGGCAGGTATACTCAAAGCACTGCAGAGTGGATTGTGCCACCTTGGCCAGAAGATGATACAGTATCCTGACTTAAGCTCAGATGACATTGAAATCCTTAACCCGACAAAAATTTGCGCATTATTCGCGCTTTTTTGAACTCAATATGAGAATTTCTTATCCGATCTGGATTACATCTTTACAGTTGATCCATAGTATATAATGATATATTATATATAATTCGGAAACCTGTTAACATAAAATTGTGGATTTTATTATTATCGGACATCGGTATATATCGATATTTGGGAAATAGGAGCAAATGTCGAAAAAAATACATAAACTTGATCGGCGCGGGGTATACGAGAACTTATAATCCAAATTTGAAGACTGTTGCTCCTATAGTATCTGAAATCCGTGAGATTTTACAAACGGCCAGACCGATTACAGAAAATGAATGATTGAAATGCGCATTTCTTTATCTACTGGATATGTTCCCCATTGCATCGATATCACATTTAGCGTCATTTATAGTAAATTTAAATTCAAAATAACTTTAATGACCTACTTGGATTATATTCAAATCCGCTTAGCTTACTAAACAAAAACATATAGCTTCTTTTGGCTTCCCAAAATACCTATTAAAACAAAACTCTTATTCAGTTGCTTTTAAATAGATACAAATAGCAATACAGAAGGCATAAATCTTCTTTTTTTTTAATTTCACTTATTTTATATAAGCCACGATGCTCAGCTAAGCTCTTTGTTTATTAACCATGTGGATTAATTTACTGCTGGACATTTTAGAGGCACTGGATAACTGCCAAGTATATCTTAAAATCAAAAACCACAAATTTAATTTCAAATCTGATTATGCGTCAGATGCACACAACATACATTCCAATAGCATATATGTATGTGGCACTATTTTCAATCCACAAACCACAAATATTGGTTTTGCAACCAGCTTTTGTCCTCCAATAGTCATATACAGAAGTTTATATATATATATATATATATATATATATATGTGTATATATTTCTCAATATTCATTTTTTCCAATTTCCATTGCTGACAGTTGCAAAACTCCCATGCGCTAAATGGTATTTATAATAGAATTTATGCCTATAACCAAACTGAACCAAAGCATCCATGGACCAATGCAAATGGCAGCCTGTCGCTAGCGCTCTCATTTTTTTTCCATTTTTTTTAACGTTTTTGTGGGTGCGTGTGTGGCACGATGGCAACCGCAGAATTCAACAACAGTCATGGCGGCGGCGTTATAATAAACCATTTTGTGGCTAAAATAACGCTCTTAAAAATCCCCAAAACATTGCCCCAAAAATAGGCAAATAAATGCATAAAAGGCAGGCAAAAGTTCTTGCGCTATATGAGGAATTCATTATTGGTTATGAAATTGAATTTGGCAGTGTGCAAACCATGTTTGACATCATATTAAAATGTTGTCATAAGCTATTTGGAGTTCGAATGCGTCCAATGCTATTTTGCATTACCTGTGCCCATTTTGTGCGCTCAAGTGTTAAAAATGCACATATCAATGGCATCTATCTCTTTCTCACTTCCTCACTTCTTATATATTATATATATATATGTATATCTCTTTTATAATTTCTGCACTTTTGCTGTTTTGCGGGCTATGAAATGGCCGCTGGCGGAATATGTCAACAGCTGTTTGCGCACTCGCATGTGTTGCATATTTTTTGGTATTTGAGTTTCCACTGTGAACAACAAAAGGCCAAACATGGAAAAGTCAATTTAATTACAAACAGCGTATTTAAATTTAAATCAACTGGTCAAATGTGTGCGTGTGTGCGTGTGTGGTGTGTGTGTGTGTGGGCGGGTGTGTGTGATTTACAATGTCAGTTGCCGCTACGCATATACTCGTGCCGCATGAAATAAAAGCTTTAAATGCCTTTAAAAATGGCATGCGACTTTGTGTTTGTGTGTGCATGTGCATGTAAATAGTTCACACGGCCAACTAAACGGAAACCGCGATACCCATACACACACATACACACTCCCACACACACACACACACACTCACACACACACTGCCATGCGCTGTGTGTTAGTGTGCCAATGCATGCGGCTGTTGCCGCAAAGTATGCTACTGGAAATTTTCAGTTTCATGCGCCCAGCAGCTTTACATTTATTGCACACTGTCCTTGTCACGTCCCCGAAAATGTTTCGCCCCTTGCGCCCTAGTGCTGGCCAGCAAGAAAAATAGAATTGTTTATTTGCCTTCGCCTTTCTTATTTAAAACTATTTTATGTGCCGCCTGCTCCAACGTAAACTTTTGCAAGAATTGCAACAGCCAAAAGGATTGAAGGCAGTGGCGAGAGGGGATATGCAACGAGCTGAGGTGCTGGGTGGGTAAATAGAGCAATTGGAGTGTGAAACGTTTTCACTTCCGTGTGTTGGCAGTAGCTACTGCTGCATGGCTGCTGTTTTCCAGCACTTTTCCTAACATGCACATAAAGTTTAGTCGATTTTGTACAATTTTTGTTGCTACTTTTTTCCTTCTTCCTGATGCTGTTCTTGTTGTTGATGTTGTTGTTGTCGCTGTTGTTGCTGTTGCTGTTGCTGTTGCTACTGTTAGCCCAAAATCCCATTTGGCACTGAATTGTGTGCACACATTGAATATTTGTAGCAAGCTTAAGAACCCAGCTAGATATATATGAGCATTAATAGATATTTTGTGTGCGATGCTGCTGATACTATTATTTCCAACCTCTTCTTCTTCTTCTTCATCTTCTTATTTTGTTTTTTTTTTTTTGCGTACTCGGTAATTGAATCGTGAATGTTGCATATATACAATCGGCTGCACTTGAACGCATTGCTAACAGTTTGTGACGTGTTTATTTGCGGCCCAATTTCAACACATTTGCAACACATTCACGCCACATGCTGTGACAGTTATGTGACCAACGAATTGCACTGGTCAACACTCGAGTGTCTTGTCTATGAGTTATGCCTTTTCAAGCACCACCAGCAGCAGCAGCAGCAGCAGTTGACACATTTAAATCTACATCTATGACAAATGAAACACATCAGGCAAGGGCACAGAAGAGCTGCTGCTGCTCCAAACTTTAGCCTTAAGTCTTTCAATAAAAGTCATAAAAATACACACAACTTTTATTTATTTTCACAACACATAATTTTAAGATTTGATTATGAATTCATTGCAGTACAAATACATTTAGATTTAACATTGGGATCACAAAATGACAAGGATCACAAAATGACAAGGCATCGTCGATCAAATAGAAGCAAATTCGTGAGTAATTTATGATAGATTTTTAGCAGTAAATTAATAAATATTTAAAAACGATTCATACATTTGGATAGATTTTCCTATTAAATCGTTTACGTTGCAAGTATGCTACACATTTTTCCACCATGAAAACCAAACCTGCTAAACTATAGCAAACACCAAGCAATTTCCATAGCCATTTTAAATCCTCAATATTTAATGGTGTGATTTTTGATTCTTGATTGTTTGGTGTAGTTTCCTTGGCGAAAGCCAAATGAATCATAATTTCCTTTGCCTGCTCTATCCAGTAATTGATAAGTCCGTAGCTCCAAGTTAAATTAATAAAATCATCGAATGCCTGGCGAAAAATGGAATTTTTCTTCAACACGTAAGCCGTTGGAATATTTTTAGATACGTGTAGGCCACTAGATGTACAAAGAACATTTTGTTGACGATACCTCTGATATTTGTCAATGACATTCCATGCAGTTGTAAATGTTTGATAGCCGTAGCTAGAATTTAAAGTGAAAAGTAGTTTTCGAAATTCTTTGTTCGACAGATATTCAGAATTGGGTAAAACATTTTTTAAAAACTCAGCATTGATTGCATTTTCCATATTCATTTTCGCACTCTTATCAGTTTTAATTGGTAGTCCACTATCCCTCAGCTCTTTTAAGTTCTGAATCTGTTTATTCTGAGGATGTTTTGTTAATAAAGTGCTCAAATTGGCATTAAAAAAACAGGAGAAAACTAAACTAAATATGCTCATAATGATTACGATCTGTTGTAGTGATAAACTGGTTCTATTCCTTCTTGGAGGCATTGGTAATCCCAAGACCCCAGCAAATGCTCGCATGTTCAAAACTAAGGGGGAATATATTAAATAAGGTCTACGTCGAAAAATCCAATTAATCGAAGCTACAATTAAGGTTTCAATTACCGCAAAGATAAAATATGCTCCCAGAACTATTATGGAATAGGTCTTCAGGCCTGTGTAGACATCTCTTATGCTCATTTCTTGACCACATGGAACTAAAATTAAAACATCTACAAACCCTGTAAAATGTGTAGGTTCGACTTTTGAGGATATTTCCTTTATCGAAAGTGTATATGGTTTGGGGGATATGTCAATTTTGCCACTTGATGTCAAGTTAAGGATCTCAGTATTATCAATTTTCGTCAAATTTTCCAATGGCCTCAGAAATTGTAGCTGAATATTACGTGCTTTTACAAACTCAAGGATCAGTCTGTCAGAGGAGCCACAAAGCTTTTGCTCTCCAGTACGTGGATCAGTTGCCAACATACTGCGAGGCATAGAAAGATCTGGTAAAAACAATGCCGTTTTCCCCTTAAAATTTAACCACATCTTGGGAAATATGTGTCCGTCACTTATATTTCGGATGCGCTCTAAAGTTGGACTCGGAAATGGTTGCAATCGATATGTTACAATCGATTCTTCGATACGGTTCGACGTTAAGTGTAGAACAATTAAATGGATGAAGTTATAGTTCGCAGTAGTTTCACAAATTATTTGCAGGTCCTTTGTTAGATTTGACGCCACACTATTTAACAAGATTATAATTGGAGTCTCTCTCATCCGATGAAGATTATCTGCCAGGGCACTCAGCAGTCTGGTATCTGGTAGCTCAGATAAACAAACTAAAGCGAGTATTTTTCTATTGAAGTGCCTCTTTATGGTTATATTGCGTTCTTCATCCAGGCGTAGAGTTGGTAGCTCCAACGGATTGATATCTCTTAAGGGACAATTGATGTCCTGGCGTCGATTCATTACCAACAGCATCTCGATGACTCTTTCCTTGTGAACTTTCTTAATGATATCATTGACAACGATTATTTGTGAAGGTCCAGCCTCTTGTGGTGTTGGTGTTAGATAAGTGTCCAATTGGAAACCAACTGGTAGCAGAGACAGCAAAACCAGAATCGAATAGAAGGCCAACATTGTGAGCCAAGTGTAGAAGACTGACTGAACTGTAGCTTTGCCATTTTGTACTCTTATTAATTTGTACATTATTCTAATTGCGCTAATGCGTATCTATATCGTGGTTTGCAATCTAAATACTATGCAGGTGTCGACTGTTAATGTACTGATGAAATATTTCATAAAGTGTTGACATTCCCATTAGATTTAAAAGAAAATTAGAATTGAAGAACGAACAGTATAAAATTGACAACTTCAAGAATATTAAAGCTTTTCTAATAACTGAGGTTTGTGAGATATGATTAAGTCCATGAATTCATCTGTTTCTTCTTGTTAACATTCATTGAGAGAGCACAACGACAATATATAATGCTTATGCAACGTTTTAGATATAATGTTCACGAATTAAGTGTAACTTTTTTATATATTTATTAATACAGTCATCGCATTACGCTGCTTTAAAAACTCAAGAATAAAACTGTCAGATAAGCAATATAGATTTTATAAATCTGGTAAACTATCAGCCATCTTTCCATTAAACTTAAGTCACATCTTGGGAAAGATTTCTCATTCATTCAAATTTGCATCAGATATGGCTGTAGACGATATACAAAAATCGAATCTTTGAAATGCGATGTTGAGTGAAAAACCAATATATTGGCAATGTTATTGGTGCCTGCTTTCTCTTTGACTATTCAGAGATGCTCTCCAAGTTTTGATGGTGCACTGTGCAACCAGATTATGATGAATATTGGTGTATATAAATAAGTAGTTAGGAGCAGCAGCAGCAGAAGTCAGGTATAGGAGCATTGTCGGTCAAGTGTGGATAACTTGCTTAACTGTAGCTTTGCCAGTATTTTACACTCAGATCAATTTGTACATTAATCTAATCGAAATTACAAGCAGTTTCCAGTCTAAACTTTACGCGTTCCTTGTTGTGGTCTGACGCCATTGCATTGGTTTGATGAAGTTGTAACAGTGACTTCCAAGTCTGCAAACAAAATAGAACGAATTGCTTTTAATTGCAAGTTAGTTCCTCAAAAGAGCCTGTACTAATTTATATTTAAATATAATTTTATTTATATTGAAATATTTTCAAAATGTTGCAGCCCCAATTACAGAATTCAAAATATTTTTGGATATTCATTAAAAATAATAATATAAATAAATAATATAATAATAATAAAAAATAAAAAATAGTCTGTATTGAAATTCGTTTTATAATAAAGAATGTGAATAATACAATTTTTGGTAGCAACAACTAGAAAATTCGTGTACATTTCATAAAAGAATACAAATTATAATAAATGAATAACTGAAGCAAAGCAGTTTAGTTTTGACAACATATTCTGTATTGAAATCTGATTAATATTAAATAATCTCAAAGAATGATAAGAGAAATGAACATTTTGGTTGGTAATACTTTATTTCATGATTTTTGATTGCAATAACTTAGAAAATTATTAAAGAAAGTCCCAATCAAAGTCTTTGCTCATATAAATGGCTCTCAGCTAAATGAAATGAATTGCAATAAAATAACAACTTAACACCTTCGGGGCAAATAAACAGAATGGGGAGGAGCTAAAGAAAAAGCTAAAGAGAGGGAGTTAGAGAGAGAGAGAGAGAGAGAGAGAGTGGGAAAGGGGAAAGAGAAAGAGACGATAGGGGGGAACTAGTATGCTCGCACATACAAATGCGCAGGCAATGCAAAAAGCAAACCGTAAGCGTACACTAAGCCGATTATAGCACGAATATAACGAAAGTAAGTGTTGGAGAGGGGTGAGGCGAGGCAGTAGTCGAGCCGGTCAGAGGATGGCTGGCTGTCTGGCAGGAAGTGCGTGGCAGGCAGAAAACATTGAAGAAGGAGAAGGAGCCGAAGAAACAGAAACAGAAGCAGAAGCAAGCAATGAATTATCGCAGTAGCAGCGCCGCTGTAGCCGAGACAAACGTGTTGTAAAAAATGTAGTACTATTAATTTTCTTGCATATCTTATAGTATCTTCATAAACAGACACGCACACACCAAGCCAACCACCCACCCACCCACACATACAGACACACAGACATACACACACACACACACCTACACACACACACACACACACTAAGAATGAGACAACCCCTGTGGGACCGACTGTCTCAGCAAATGCTTTGGCATTGGCTTAGTGCTAAGAGATTTCTAATTCAGTTGAGCAGAAATAAATTACTTACCGTAATTGTTCACCATATAAAACTGTAGTGAAGGCGTTGAGCGTAAATCGAGACAGTTGTTTCTGTGCTTTGTGTTGTGATTGTTGTTGTTGTTCTTGTTGTTGTTGATGTTGTTGCTGTAGCTATTTTTGTTGTTTTGGCAGTTCTTATAGCTTTTTGTACATTTTCGGTTTTGCCAGCTGTCGCAATGCAAAAAAAGAATTTCACTTTTTTTTCGCACTGCGCACAACTAAAACTTTAAATGTACTTTAAAAATGAGCTTGCGCATATTTTTTTTACTTATTTTATATTTTAATTTATCTACTGTACACTTATAGTTGACACGAGCAAATTATTGCCGTTTAATTTTGTGCTTTATGTCGGCATAAATAATTGCGCAAAGGCAGGCACAAATTGTACGTCGATGTAAAGTTTTTAATTATTTTTTAATGAAGTACAAGCATAAAAAAAATGTTTAAAAAAAAGAGACAATGCCTCTCACTATGAATTTATGCGTGTTTCAAGTGAATTTATTGCATGTGTAATACGCATAATAATGTCTCTCCGCCACAAGTCAGGACATTTGATATGCTTTCAGCCAACAGCGTACAATTAATATTTTCCCTTTCAGCTTACTATTTCCAATTTGTAAATACAAACAATAATAATAGCTGCTCAAATTAAGGTACAAAATTTACAGGATTGAATAATGATTGTGGTGATTAGAGCCGTGAAAGCAAAGAATTTAATGCCAGTATAGTTAAAGCCAATACGAATTTCAGTTACGATTCTGGTAAAGAATTCCGATATTTTTCCAAGCTTTTTTACGGTATTCGGTTACGTATCAACATTGAACAAATACTTAGATTATAAAACTTGGTCGATTGCTTGGTTTTATAATGAAATTAAAGTGACTCTGGTCTGCAAGTGTTCTTCTTTTTATATTCAAAACCCATTGAAAATTAATTAATAGGGCATTCTGATATAATCTTGTTGAAGAAAGCATTTCAAATCCCTTTTCGGTATTTTTCGATTTTAAGAAAATTTTAAATGTAGCTTCTAATATCGATTCCGATTCTGAATTCCGATTAAACACATTATTATAAACGCAATATGAATTAAGATGGTGTTTCATACTTTTAAATATTTAAAGCAACAGAGAAAGAAACAGAGTAAAGCATTTCTGTTAAATCAGAAATTGCCAATCAACAATTTTCTCGTTTTTAACATGAGATACCTTCAATGTTATTCATGTTTCATATCACAAGCTGCTCAAATGCATTATCTCGTTGACAAGCTTGTACTGCTTTAATGTCAGTTGCTTTCTACTTTTATATCAGCTGCTTTCTGTTGGGTTTTAGATATTCTGTGAATGCAACGCAAATGGTTCTGCAAGCCACGTGTGTGTTGCAGCATCGCCGCCAGGCGTTTGGCTCGTTAAAACTCCAAAAATCACGCATTAGCTGCCAGTTTGCACTTAAAGTCATAAATTTATTCAAATAAATGGGGGAAGAGCCCTTTACAATAAATGTTTATGTATAAGTCGCACACGTACAGACATATATATATATGTGTGTGTGTGTGTGTATGCGATGGGCGGCGCTGTAAAGTAAAATTTATATTAACTTCATTTTGTGCTGGCTGCCACGCAGTCGTGGCATAACTCACACGCACCGTGTGCAACCGCAGCGGTAAGGACTCACGCAGGAGTCTCGGCGCGTGTCGGCAGCACCAAGTTTCCAACAGGCATATGACTGACGCCGACCAAAGAAAGGTAATGTGGCAGTACGGGGCGGGGCATGCGGGATTGGCTCGTCCACGGTCCAAATGGCAGCGAAGAGAATTTTAAATTACGCTTTTAAGTGGCGATGCGAGTGGCATCGATGCCGAAATGCAGCAGCAGCAGCTGCAGCTGCTGTTGCAGTTGCATTTGCAGTTTCTGTATGTTGGCTTTTTATCATGCATTTAATTGCAAATGAAGCAGCAACAACAACAACAACAAAACACTACTCACAGACATCTCGGAACTCGAATTCCAAATCTCAGCTGATGCATGCGGCAGCTGTAAATGACGTTTAATCAAAGTTGTTGAAATTGATAGCATTGTTTACTTGCCGCATATATTGCGTGCTGCATTTTAAAGTGCGCAAAATTGTGTTAATTAAGGCTCAATGTCCTTTTCTCACACATACACACACACACACACAGGCGTGTGTTGTTATTAGAAATAATTATTTTGCCATTCCCAGGGGAAAAGCCATAAATATATAAATAAGCTGGAGTTGTAGCAGGCGCTGCAAGTGCAACAGCTTTGCATTAGCCAATCTGTGGCAAGTGTAGAAGGTGTAGAGCAAAAGGTAAACGTTGCCATGGCTGTTGCTTGCCACACAGCGCACATTGCAACTTAGTTGTGTCAGGCAATAAAATAAAGTCTAAGCTCCCAGTTCACAGAACTTGCCACATTTAATTTGTTGTGCAACAAATTAGCATTTATTTTCATTAGAGTTTCAGCTTGCCAGTTTTTTTTTTCTTCATCCTTTTGTGTGCAATACATGGTTCAATTTTTGCCCTTAATTACAAGAAAAGATATGTTTACATCCTTGGAAACCCATTTAAACTCTCAAAATATTTTGAATCTGTTGCAAACGATTTGAAATTAACCAGAAACTATATTTTTGATGACATGTCTTAAACTATATCCGCTATTTAATTAAATTGATTGATCTTTACCCAAATCCCGTCAAATATCTTCGACTGTTCAAAATAATTTAAATTGGCTATTGATTTTCTAGAAGCAAAATCTTTGAGACAACTTTATATACATCAACTACAAGAAGTCTTTCGATGGGACAGTTTAATTAAGGACTTATTTAAATAGAGTCAATTACAAAATATTTACTTTAAATGTCAACTATTGCATTCTGTTTAAAATAAAAGTCATTCATATTATTGCATTTATTGCATATTGAATATGAATGAAAAGTTTTTCTATTTTCTTGTTACGAACTTTTTTGCACTCTTTTAAATTCAATTTAGCACTAATTCAGTTAAAACATGTTATTTTAAACGTTTTTCTTGCTGCCTTTAATACTGTATTGTAAAGTGTAATCAATGGGCTAAAAGCTTAAGGCCTTTAAATGTCATAAAAAGAAATATGAAAAATATAGTATACAATTCTGCGTTGCATTTTTTTTTTTTTTTTTTGTGTTTTTGCATTCAATTATTATGCGTGTAGAAGGAATCGCCAGTGCGTCGTTGTGGACCACGGTCAGCATGCGCATCAGCTTCATCGCCATTATGATGTCGATTTTTGTAGCGCTGCTCATAATCACCATTATCAAAGTCATCATCATCACCATCATCGACATGCCTGGACCGCGCATTATCCGTGTAAGAGCTCACGCCCGACTGAGCGCCCAACGAAGCTGAAGATGAGTAACGTTTGTTGCCAGCTGCATACGACTCTCGATGCAGATTTGAATGTGGATGTGGATGTGACTCTGACTGTGAATGCAAGTTACCATACGCCCAACCAGGTTCGACGTTACTGCCGCTGTCCATGTAATGATGACGATGATGTCGCTTCCTTTCTGGGTAGTACTGATGCTGATAATAGTAGTCCGAGTCGCTGCCAACCGACTGCGACTGGTCAATGTGTGTGCGATTAGGATAGAAATCAGGGTGTGATGAGGGGTCGCGTTGCCCATTATAATAATCACCATCATCGTCAGCATCATTGTGCTGGTGATGGTGATGGTGATGCTGATGATGTGGCGTCTGTGACGGCTGATACGACTGGACATGCGAGGCTGGCTTATTAGTCACCAATCCACTGCTATATGGCGTATGCAAAGTCACAGATGGCGTAACAATAACGGGAACTACGGCGGTACTGGGTGCTGGCACCAATGATGCCTGCTGCCAAGATGCTGCTGCTGCTGCTGCTGCAGCTGCGGCTGCTGCGGCTGCTGCCGTTGCTTGTGACTCGGATGTTGTTGTAGAGGTTTGTTCACGTGAGTTCATTTCAGCTAATTTATTGAAGCGATTGCGACTGCCGACCGCCGTAAGCACCATCACGGTGGGGTTCATGTCAGAGATGTGCTCCTTGATGCAGCTCTGCAGCATGTTTACGAAAAAGAAGAACGAGAGCAGCGTCAGCGCCGACATGACGGAGCCACTGCTCTTTTTCTTCTTCGGTGCTGGCTTTGTGGGTGGCGGCTTGGGCGCATGATATTGGGGCGGATGCTGAGGCTGAGTTTGAGGATGTGGGGGATGCGGTGGATAGGCGGGCGCACTGCCACCACTCGGATGATACGAGGAATAGCTGCCAGACGATGGCGTCTCGTACTCCATCGATGGATCCATGCTGTTAATTTAAAGTTGCATTAGCGTTGGTCAACAGAATGGATGGCTGGATTGGTTTAGATTTTGAACTTACCCATACCCGGAGTGACCGCTGCTGGCGCTGGCATAAGCACCGTTGTGGTTGCTCGCAACGCCCATCAGTGGTCGTTCATAATGCAGATAGGGATTCTGGTGTAGCTGATGCTGCCATGGGTAATGGGCTCTCTGCGTTTCACTCCTGGAATTCAAATCACAGCCGAGAGCAGAGTGTGAGTAAGTGCAACAAACAACAAGGACTAGGCCAAAGTGCCAGCCAGGTAAATACATAGTTAGAGAGGTATCGGGTATGAGGCAAGAGGCATGAGTCTCTTTGCTTTTGTTGTGTCGCATAAATCTCGCGCTGTCATTTTGCTTACGCATAATTATTTCCGGAAATGGCTGACAGCAGCGGATGTTGTTGTTGTTGCTCCGCCTCCGTCTGCTGCTGCGGCTGTTGCTGCTGCTGCTGCTGCTGCGGCTGCTGATATTGCATATTCCCAAAGGACATTGCGATGTTTGATTTGCAATTTTATTGCGCTAATTGATTTCCGGCGCACACTCACGCCTATTGCTGCAAATGCAATGTTTTTCGCTTTCAACCATCATAAGCTGAGACACCGAAAAGTCAACGCCAACTGCCTGCCGCAAGACCAGCAAGAGCAGTAGCAGCCAACCAACCAGTCAACCGGCTTCGGGCTGCAACCGCAAGTGACAGAGTTGCTTAGGCAACTGCAAAAGCGTTTGTCAGTTACTAAATGGACCCATTCACTGACCCCACCCACCCCCCTTGGCACCCTTACCCGCTACTTGTCACTGTCAGCTGTTAAGTGTGCAACGCAACACGGGGCAAACTGACAATTGCCTGTGCAAAGTGTTTTGCGGTGTTGGGGCGACCAACTGACACACACCTGAATTGGAGCATTGCATGCAATGCACATTTTGGCCACACAGCCACACAATTAGTGCACGACAAAGGCTGACTATCAAACGCCTCCTCTCCACACCCACTTTATCCCATTCCCCTTGGCTGTCAGTGTTAATGACTATGTTGCAGCCGCTGGTTTATTGCATTAAAAGCGTCGTTCAACGTTATGCATCAGAAATTGTCATAATTGTGGCATGTCTGGGCGTGCATGTGGTTACAGTTCTTCTTCTACTTCATCTTCTATTTGTTGTTTATGTTGTTATTGTTGTTGTTGCTATTGCTGGTGGCTGCATTCAACAACTGCTGCGGCTCGCTTTATTGTGCGTACAGATTTCATATCGCCAACGTTAGAGATTTATGGCAGCCAGCTAATAGTTTTCAATGCCAACAACATTTTTGTCTTAGACCAACAGGAAGACATTTGACTGCAATAACAAATATTTAACATTTCCGCAGCAAGTAGCAAGCAGCAGGCAGCAGCAGGCAGCAGCAGGCAGCAGCAGCAAGCGACAAGTCAAAAGCACATAATAAATTGTCAAATGCTGCACTGCCATGTTGCGTGTCCTTTGTTACGCTTTGATTTGTCGCCCTCGCCCCTCAGGAAATAAAAAAAGCAACAAACATACAGAATATTACAAACTGAAAAAGAAACTAAAGCCAAAGAGCAAAACTTTTGCTGATTTGCTCAAAAATAAGCAAAAAAAAAAAAAAAAAGAAAGCGCAAGGCAAGTCAAGAACTCAAATGCCGCGAGGGGTTGAACAGAGAAAAAATCATGGCTAAAGTCAAGTTACTTAAGCAGGCAGGGGGCATATTGCTGGTAGGGGGCAGAGCTTGGGCTGCTGTACGTCTGCTGGCGCCATTGTCAACATATTTCAAGCCGCCTGAGACTCAATAATAAGCTGTGTGAATCTTGACTACATATTGTAGTTTTCGACCATCGAAACTATATATACAAATATATATATATAAGCTCGTATGGCGCCCCCAAATTGGTCAGCGGGCACAAACCAAAATTTAATGACTGGAAAATGAGGCATTTAAGCTGAGTGCCAGCCAACTTTTGCCCCAAGCCACTAGACGAACGTGCCCAGCCAGCATTTGGATATTTATGGTTGTCTGTCTCTGACTCCAACCCCACTTCAAACAGTGTCTTTGATTGCATCTGTATATGTATCTGAATCTGTATTTGCAGCTATCTATGTCGAGGAACATGGCAGCTCGCCAGGTCGTTCATTAATGGCTATGATTAACACGTAGACACATTAAATTATAAAACAAGCCAAGGCCTAGAAGCGCATTTTAGCCACATCAATTAACGTATATGAAAAGCGTGCATTCTTCTCCAGTAAAATATCGAAGTTTGAATACTCTTTGCAGCAAAGATTTCGAAGAAATAAATATAATTTGTTGATCGTCTCGTGGTTTGATCTATTCGATTTCGACTACTTAAATGTGATCTGTTCGATTTCGGCTACTTGTAATAAAATGAGGAACTTGGAATACAAGTTTCATCAAGGCAAGTTAACATTGAATTAGAGCACTTCTAAATCAACTAGATTATTAATGTGGATCATGTGAAAGCCTATTTAAGCGATCATCCCTTATTAAGTGCGTTGCAAACTTCGCGACAAAATTACAAAACCTCATAAAATGTTGTAAAAATATTGCAGCATTTTAGGCGGCATCTGTATTCATTAGCTGAATTTACGCAAACATGTGGGAGTGTGTGTGTGTGTGTGTGTGTGAGTGCGGGCGTACATAAATCATTTGGCTACATTTAGCGCAAAACTTTTGGGGGCCAGCACTGGCAAACAAAAATAAAAACTCGTTAATACAGCAAGTCGTGCTGCTTCTGCTTTGCTCCTGCTTTGGACTCAATGGTGACTACGTGCTTGGACTTTGGCCACTGCTGCTGACTCGCTGGCTGGCTGTCTTGGCTGCTTGGCTGCCTTGACTGGCTTGGCTGGCCACTACACAGTGTCAAGTGTAAAGAAGAACTACTAATCAGCAGTTAATTCTTATCTTTAATTAAGTGCACGTTCCCACTACGCAAGCAAAGGCGAAGGCAATGCCAAAGACGATGATGGCAAAGGCAAAGGAGCAGCTGCTGCTGTCCGTTTATGGCAGACGTCTAGTTCGGGGCTCCTTAGTTTCAACACTTTTGTGTGTCTTCATTGTTCGGCACAAAGGCCAAGCGCTCAACCCGCCTTTTGTCGCCCCGCTCAATTTAATGAAATAATCTAAGCAAACACTCGCTAAAATTAAGCAGTTTTTTTTCATTTTTTTTTTTGCGTGTTTGTGTATTTATTTTGCTTTGTTTTTGGGCTGCTTGAAATTAAAAATGTAATGCGTTCTCTTCTATTTTTTTTTTATTTTTTTTTTTTGCACATAATTAAATGCGAATTTTTGGTAGCTGCGGAAGCTGGCCAATTAAAAAGGCCACGCAACAATGGCCAAGGCGACCGTCCATGCATGGCTTAGCAGTAGCTCAACGATTCGGCGACTTAGCCACAAAATACAACAACAATAGAAAAAAGGGTTCATAATGAGCCACATCTGTTATGCTCTAAGATGCTCGCCAAGTGCCAAAAAAAAGAAAATGCTGCTGCGTTAAACTCTTGTGGGCGCAGTCAACTCAAGTCCCCTTCCAACAGGTAGCCATAAGTCATTACCCCCATTTTGGAGCCGGCATTTTGCAGTGGTTGAGGTAGCGTCAAGTCGTTTGAGCAACAATACCGAAACCCACACACACACACAAGGACACACAGTAGGCATTGCTGGCAGGGGCGTGGTAGCGTTTGGCTGCACTCAAGCGTGCCTGTCACATTTTTGCACTTTTTGTCTTTTATGTGGCCAAGTTCCCCGTGGCGCCCAAAAGTTACATCAGATACATGAAAACATTTTTTTCAAAAGCTCCACTAAAAATAAAATAAAGAAAATTTTATTGAAGTGCCAAGGTGGCTGTCAAAGTAAATGGGGAGTACGGGGCATCCCGGCCACACAGATTAATTATGCATCGCAAAATGCTAAGCCAGCTAGCACCAGCATCAGCAGCAACACCACCAGCACCACCACTGCGCCTAAAAAAAAGGGGCACACACACGCGACTGCGGATGTCTGTGCATATAAAAGCCAAGTACAAGCCACATAAAAATAAAATAAAATAAAATAAAATGGAATAAAGTGGAGTGAAATAAAAAACAAAAAGTGATATTCATTTCACAAGCATAGCACATTTGTATACTCTATGTATGTGATTACAAAATGGGTAAAACGTATCTGTTAAAATTTCAAAACCAAAATATAGTTAAATAGATAAAGATACAGATCGCATAACTACAGGCCTTTGCATAAGCTCTAAGATCATAATTCACTTTCAACCATCAGCGTTCCAAGTTTCGGTTCAACTCCGAAACCAATTAGTTAGTGCCTACTCGTACGGGCTAGCCCAGCCTAATCTTATAGTAATCTGAATAATATACTCTGTGCACAGATAACCAGCATGAATTTGTAGGGTATATTTGAAATATGTGAATCTGTCTCCATTTATATTGCCAGCTACATGCATTTGAAACTCGATTCAATTTAGACTATAAATCGGCAGTAATCGGATTATTTGAGGCAAAGAGATAAATTATCTCCATGTATTTTAAGTCTGTTTGTCAATCATTTCAAAACTAGTTGGAATATTTTACAAAAGCACTCAAAACTTTAAAGTCAAAACAAATATCTAATATTTGACTATGTGTAAAGTTGTAGTTAAAAATGATTCACCATCAGCATGCTTCACATTCATGTTAGAGCCCTCCAAGTTGAAAAGATCCAAGTAATTTCAAAACTGAGGATAAACTAATTTAAAAATGTTGTTATGCTTAAATGAATACTAGCAAACTATCATCAAATTACTGCACTCGATATTTGTGATTATTGGCAAGGAGATTATGGAAAACTGACGTGTCACAAACACTCCAATAAAATTAATATATTCTTGCCGCATAGCTATCAAAAAATGTGCATATTAAAAATGAAAATAAAAATTAAAAGCTGCTGCTAAAAATCAAGCGCCAAACTCGACGTCAGCGTCAGCGTCAAAAGCCAAAATGCGCGACGTTGTCGGTCGCTGTCGCCGTGTCACTGCACCCAACAACGTGTGCTTGTTGGCACACATGAGGTGTTTTGTACCATACACACACACACACACACACACACATGTAAACACGCCCACTGGAGAGACACACACATAGGAATGACTACGACGATGGCGACGACATCGCAGTACCCACTTGAAACGCTTTTTAACAAAAATTCTTTTAATTTTTTGAGCTTGTTTTTTGTTTTTTTTTTTTTGGGCAGTAGCAGAGAAAAAAAAGCAACGAGAGAAAAATTAAAGAAAAATCCAGGAGTTGCCTGCTGAAAGCTGTCGTCGTTATTATTGTTGTTGTTGTTGATGCTGTTGATGCTGTTGCTTGTATATTTGCGCAACCCTCACTGGAAATGAAATTTTCCT